CCTTAGCCATGCCTTTTCCCTTCATATGTAAATCCCTATCTTATTCCTTAATTGTCCTGTGTCTCTTATTACCATCCTTTCACTACTGATGTGCTTCAAGACGACTTTGGAATCGTCCTTTTATTGAATTTTCATATTTTATTCCACATACAACTATACACAAAGGCACAGTACAACAGAGCAATGTACAAAATTTGCTCATGATCTTTAATGCCAGCTGCTAGTCTTTGTTTCATAAGCCCTTTCAATCTTCTGCATTCATTTTGGTGCTTAATTGTGTTCACTACCTGATACCTTTGCACTGTATCTGTTCTATGTTCTAGTGCAACACTGCATTCTGTTCTATTATCCTGATGTACTTATGTAAGGTATGATTTGTCTGGTTAGCATGCAATACAGTACTTTACACTAGCTCAGTACATGCAACAATAATATATTAAAATCAAAAACCTTTTCCTTCTTCAACTTAATTCGTCTCCTTTGTCATCCAGGGAATTCTGAATTTGTTTCACCTACTTTTCTTGACTGTGCCCAAACATCTCCTCTTTGAAGGTAGCCCATTGCTCAGTTATTGTTTTTCCCATCAACTTTTGGATCTACTCTGTCAGGCACAACTCCATTCTGGCCCAGTGAAGTCCACTCTCCACCAACTGATTTTTTTTTTTTCTCTAGATTAACCAATGTCATTTTCCACAGTCATCCAAAACCTTATGACGTAATGTTCACTTTCTCCTAAATGTTCCCATTGTGGCACGTGATCTGCTTGCCCACCTCATTTCAAACAGCCAAGTCTAGCAGTGCTCTTTTCTTGTTGGGACGAGGCACATTGCTGTGCCTGAACAATCTAGCAATGCTTGCCGCTCATGCACCTTACACTATCAATATCCCAGTGACTTGCGGGAAATTAAAGTCTCTCATTATGACTGCATCAGATGTTTACACCTCTCTGTAATCTACTTGCAAATTACTTCCTCAGTATCGTTCTCACTAGCTGGTGGTCTACTGTATATATTATACTAAGCAATGTAATTGCAATTTGCTTACTCATTAGCTCCAGCCAAATCAATTCTGTCCTTGAATGCTCTGAAACATTCTCTTTCTCCAGTACTGCAATGTTCTCTTTAACCAAAACCGTCATCCCTATTCCTTTTCTTCCTTTCTTTTCCTAACTTTCCTGAACACCGTGTAACCATAAATATTTAACAACAAAATCTGCAGCTCATCAAGGCAGGTCTCTATTCACATCACATATCATCAACTATTGAAAAGAAGCTCTGAGCATTACGTCAGCTGAACCCAGAAAAGAGAGTGCCACCTACAAATAACTGGATGGCTATGAGGGAGGTGGTGTTATAGTGGTGTTATCACTGGACTAATAATCCACAGACACAGATAACAGGGACATGGGCTTGAATCCCACCATGACAGACGGTCAAATAAATCTAGTTTAATGGTAAAATTATCCTAAAAACCCAACTGGTTCACTAATGTCCTTTAGGAAAGAAATCCTCACCTGGCCTGTGTACATATAACTCCAAAGGCAAAGCATAGAACATAGAACATAGAACAGTGCAACACAGTACAGGCCCTTCGGCCCATGATGTTGTGCCGACCTATTATCCCACTAAGATCAATCTACCCTGCTTCCCTACATTTTACTATCCTACACCCACCACTTTCTGTGTGAAGAACCGACCTCTGACATCTCCCCTATACCTTCCTCCAATTACCTTAAAATTATGCCCCCTCGTAATAGGCATTTCCGCCCGAGGAAAAAGTCTCTGACTATCCACTCTATGCCTCTCATCATCTTGTAAACCTCTATCAAGTCACCTCTCATCCTTCTTCGCTCCGATGAAAAAAGCCCTAGCTCCCTCAACCTTTCCTCATAAGACCTGCCCTCAAGTCCAGGCAGCATGCTGGTAAATCTCCTCTGCACCCTCTCTAAAGCTTTCACATCTTTCCTATAATGAGGTGATCAGAACTGAACACAATATTCCAAGTATGGTCTAACCAGAGTTTTATAGAGCTGCAGCATAACCTCATGGCTCTTAAAATCAATTCCCCTGCCAATTAAAGCCAACACACCATACACCTTCTTTACAACCCTATCAAATTTGGTCGCAACTTTGAGGGATCTATGGACGTAGAGCCCAAGATCCCTCTGTTCCTCCACATTGCCAAGGATCCTGCCATTAACCCTGTATTCTGCATTCAAATTCAACCTTCCAAAATGAATCACTTCACACTTTTCTGGGTTGAATTCCATCTGCCACTTCTTTGCCCAGCTCTGCATCCTGTCAATGTCCTGTTGCAAACTACAACAGCCCTCCACGCTGTCTACAACTCCACCAACCTTCGTGTCATCAGCAAACTTACTAACCCACCCTTCCACTTCCTCATCCAAGTCATTGATAAAGATCACAAAGAGCAAAGGTCCCAGAACAGATCCCTGCAGCACACCACTGGTCACTGAACTCCAGGCTGAATACTTTCCATCTATTACCACCTTCTGTCTTCTATTGGACAGCCAGTGCAGTTCAATTGACTCTTAACTACCCCCTGAAATGGCCAGTTTGAGGGCAACTAGATAACAAGTGCTGGCCTTGCAGATGATGCCCGCATCCTATGAAAGAATAAAAGGAAAAAAAAATACTTTTCAACATGTTTGGAATTTTGATCTTGTTTTTATTAACAAGAATCAGTCCTCTCAATTATGTTTTCACAACGATAGCTTTGTCATTGCACCATCAGTGGGTAGTCCATTCAATTTAACGCTCCTGCATAATATAGCATACTATAGCACAACATTTGAATTCAGTGCATAGATTTCACAGGAAACTATGAAGTTTTCTTGTGACAGTGAACTGCACATTTACTACTGTACCAAATAGTGCAACTATTATTAGTCGAAACCTGTCAACACTAAACTATTTTTGCTATATCTTACCCTATGAATCTTTCCTTACTCCAGTAACCTTAATGCTTCTGGGTATACTTTGATCTTTTAGCAAACATCTATATTGATCTCAAGACCGACGATAACAATTCATATGTACATTCAAACTGATTTGACTCAATCTGTATTAATCTTAATACTACACCTTGGGAGATTTGCTGCACACTCAAATTGTTTAGCTTCTAATACTTTTAATAGTACTACAATATATTCTAATGCACTCTTTATAAAAGTCATTTTAAAAAAATCAATGAATATAATCTTTATCCACAGTAATCTCCATAATTTCCATGGATACACAAACGGTTCACAATCTCTAATAAACTGATTTACAATTGTAAGCATGCCGTGGAACATGGACTATTCTCTTATTCATCTGCACAACTCTCATTTCAAAAGGCCATTAATTAATCTTACAATGCATTTTATGTGGCCAGTTCAATCTTGCATGCAAGCAAGAATCAACAGGAAAGCGTGTTGTTTTTAAACTGAGAGCCAGGACATATTTGGATTTCTGGTGGTACAGCATTAACAATACTAAATGTCCAACACTGATGATGTATCACTGGACTTAAAGCTTTAACTCTGTTTGTTTCTCTACAGATGGTGCAAGACCTCCTGAGTTACCCTAGCATTGGTTTTGCTTCAGATCTGCAGTTCCTTGTTTTATTTAAATTATAAATGTTTACTATCTGTTGAAAACAACATTATTTGGAACTTTTGAGGTTGTTTCTACAGGTCATGTGCGATAGTCACATCATAAGAAAAGTCATATTACAACCTAAATATATATATCATCACCTTCAAGCTGAGACGATTATTTAAAAATGCAACCTGGAACCTTTTGTTATAAATTGTAGATTATAAAATCAGACTGAACTAGTGATTACTCCAGATACTAGATTACAAAAAAAGGTTTAATGAAAGAAATTCAAAATGGTCTTATCATTCATCATCCCAGCCATTTTCTGCCTGAAGTGTTTCTAAATGATGCAACACTGATTTCCTGGGGTTAATATGACAAGAATACGTGAACAGAAACGTTAACTTGTAAATTTTCTAATTTAATCTAATTTTACAACCTTTTCCTCAGAACAATACAGAATTTTTTGGGTGACTGCAGAAGGCACAGACTGAAACTAATAACCTGACACCGAAATTCACTCCCACCTCTTGTGTATTCTTTCACAAAAGTTTCAACCCGACCTGTTTCACGAAACTTCTGGTCACCCATCCCAACAATACCTTATGTGTCACACTGTATTCGATCACATGCTATATGATCAAAGGGCGTCACAGATCTTCAGCAACCACTGACGAAAGTAAACACCCGAGTAACAGGTTTTAGTTATTCGGTTATTAGTTAACGAAGGACTAATGTGACCCTGCCCAGACACTGATACCTATCGTGTGGGGAAAAATGAAACACGATGCGTCATTCTGTGACTGGAATTTCTCTGAACCATTTGCAGTCATGACACAGCCTGCACCGTTGTGTCTGATTAAACGAAGCCGGGCTTCTCGCACGACCGTCGTTCACGCGCATTAAAATCCATTTATTGAGACTAATAATCGCTCAACGTTTGCTCCTTTTCTGATTCAGTCACAACATTCCGATCTGAGTGGCGGCCAGCACAAGAGAGGGCTCCAGGTGAAATAATGAAGTGCTGGGGCTCTGCGACCATAACCCAGCCAGACCTTCATTGTAAAGGTCCCATCCCCTTCCCGCCAAGAGGGGAGGACGCTATATTTCCCCATAGGGTCAGATAATTCCCTCCATTCCCCTAGAGGGGCAGATATTATATCCCATCCATTCCCTCGGAGGGCCATACATAACATTGATTTGCCCCGTTAAATGAATTTAGCATGAACCCAATCATTGGTGAGGGGAAGGTTTATATTCATTCATGGGATGAGGATGTCACTGGCAAGGCCAGCATTTATTGCCCAAAATGGGGGGTGGGGGGTATGGGTTAGGATTTACCTATACGCCAGACCAGGTAAGGATGGAAGACATTAGTGACATGTCTCACTCACTTACCCCACAGCCATGTTAGCGGCTGAGCCTGGGGGAGCAGAGACAGCGAGTAGACGGCGCCAAGATGCAGCAGGCTCATCAGTGCGACGTTTCTCCAGACGATTTCCCGTTTGGCCTCGGCTTTCTGCTGCCTGTTGCTCTCAGCCGAGCTCGGCGCCGCCACCTCCACTTCTTCCACTGCGGCAGCCCGATCCGGCTTCTCCATGGTGTCCCCTGACCAGCGGCTGCCCTCTCGACAAGGAGCCTACGCCAGGGGGAATTGGGGTGGCAGGAATATGCTGCCAGGCAGAGCCGGAAGGGAAAGCTACAGGAAAAACAGGGTCAGCGCAGGCATCTTGCAGCAAGTGTGCAGCCGGAGACAGCAGCAACCAATCACAGCAAGGGCTTCAGAGCGGCTCGACCTGTAGGGATTGAGTGTAGCAAGACCATCAAACCCAGACCATAGCAACCAGACCATAGGCACGGGGCCAGTACCATAGCTATCACACTGGCCCTGGCCCAGAGACCATCGAATGGGTCCAGTGAGGGGGGGTGGGGGGTCATTTGACCTGCCTGCCTTAAGAAATCTGGGTCTCCCTGTTCTAACAGCACACAGTGTCTGTCGGGACTCCCGTTCGATGCCCCGGACTGGGTTGACCGGGAACGTTATGTAGAAATCAAGGGCTACAAAGCAGCCAACTAAAATGAGCTGGTAATTTATATCCAGTGCGACCTCCATTTTCTGCAATACCAGTTCCCTGCCTTTCTGATTATCTGTCAACACTTTCATGAGAAAAGGTCGTGTTCCGTCTGATATCTGTTTCATTGCAAAGGCCGTTAACGTCATTCTCTTCATTGATCGTAAATAACCCCCACACTCTGAGAGAGATTGTATTCAGTGTTTTACTTGTGGGTCTTGTTCACGTTCATTAATTTAGGACTCTATCCACTGAATGTCTGACCAAAACTCAGGCGTCTCGAATTTTTTGAACAATTACAATTTATTCTCAGTGCCCCTTCCATTTTGACAGATGATCAAGACTGCACTGTAAACTACACAGCAACCTCTTTATCGGGGATATATTTCTTTGCAACGAAACGTTGTCGACCTGAAACATTAATTATGTTTCTTTCTTCACAGATGCTGCTCGATTTGCGGATTATTTCCAACATTTTCTGTATTTATTAATAGTCAGCATCTGCTCTAGAGGCGTTTGCTTCTGAGGATTGTGTACGAATCACTGGAAATATCAACCCAGATTCACATACATTGTATGTGGTATGCTTCGATTAAAAAAATAATTTGCAGTAAATTAGAATGAAATCTCACTTCTAGTATGAATTGACCATCTATCCACACCAGCAACTGTGCACCGAAATTTGAAATCCTGATAAAAGCCAAAAAAATCAAATATGACAAATTACATGATCCAAAATTACGCAACCAGAATATAGACAACCACAACAAAAACAAAATCTATAAAGAAATCTGAAGTCAAAGAAACTCAAGTTTGAGTTATAAGGAGAAGCTGAATAGGCTGGGGCTTTTTTTTCCCTGGAGTATTGGAGGCTAAAGGGGTCACCTTACAGAGGTTCATAAAATCATGAGGGGCATGGAGAGGGTACATAACCAAGGTTGTTTTTCAAGGGCGGGGGAGTCCAAAACTAGAGGGCATAGATTTAAGGTGAGAGGAGAAAGATTTAAAAAGGACCTGAGGGGTAACTTTTTCACTCAGAGACTGATGTGTGGATGAAATGAGCTGCCAGAGGAAGTGGTGGAGGCTGGTACAATTACAACATTTAAAAGACACCTGGATGGGTATAAGAATAGGAAGGGTTTAGAGAGATAGTAGGAACTGCAGATGCTGGAGAATCTGAGATAACAAGG